TGAATAATATTCTGCTGTATGAATATGCCACAATTTCTCCATTTTAACTATTGCCAGACATCTGGATTGTTTCTGATTTGTTACTGTTTGATTTGCCGGAGGAACATTGTTGTATGTGTCTTTTGGTGCACCTGCATATGCTTTTCTAAATAGGATTTGTACCAGTGGAATTTCTATGTCTTCAACTTTGTTAGGTAATGCCAAGCAGTTTTCTAAAGTAGTTGTACCAGTTACGTTTAATTCATGAATTTATTATAAATGTGACCTAAAAGATCTTTTGTAAATCAACTATCATTTTAATATTCCTTAAAGTGAAATTACTGATAGCAACAAAGGTCGGAAGATGTTGGAGAAGATGGGTTGGAAAAAAGGAGAGGGCCTGGGAAAGGATGGTGGAGGAATGAAAACTCCGGTAAGACTTGTATTTTCTTTTATTCATTTATTCCTAGAGCAGACATTTACTGTGTATGTTAATGTGCCAAACATTGCCTTAAGTGCTAAGAATATAGTGGAAAGCAAAAACAGACATGATTACTGCCTTTGTGGCATTCACAATTGCCAAATGTATACATATAACTTTGTTTTGTTTTGTGTGTTACAATTTTCAAAAGCCTCTTTTTGAGTGTTTTTCCTACATTAAAGCTAGGATAAGAAGTGCTATTTCCTGAGCCAAAGGTTCTTCTGTGTTTTAGAGTTGTTTTTAGTAACTGTCTTATTGTCCCTGGTACTGAGGATTCAAGAACAATCACAGTGTTAGTGTACAAACAGGCGGATTCTATATGAGCTGAAAAACCGATTAGGTTCAAGAATCAGAGCATGTAACATGGATTATAGAGAATAATGTCTGGGAAACGACAGAGTGGTTTACTTAGTAGTCCCGTGGTTCATAGGAGGTTTGGTTATCTTTCACACAAACCTTAAGTAACCTGACTGAAGAACTTTCTGGATAATTACTTAGTACCTAAAGAAATAATAGATGGATCAATGTGAGTATATAACAGTTTTCTCATTTTTATTGAGGTACAGTGGAAAGAACAAGGGTTTTGTCAGATCTAGATTAGAAAATGTGCTCTATCATTTGTGACTTGTGTGACTTTGGGCAAGTTCAGACATTAATTTTCTTATGAAAAAATGGGGATAAGAACTCTTTTTCAGGGTTGTGTTGAAGATGAAGCCCCAAGCATTGTACCTTACATTAGGCATTCAGTAAATGGTAGCTTTGAATGTTCTTAAAATATTGAGAAGTGCTCTCCTCCTGTTGCGAAAATAATCAGATTCTCTTTATGGTTATTAATGTTTAACCTGCTCTTTCACTTACTTAGGTAAGGATAGGGCAGTAGGCTTAAACCTATCCATTGCCATTATTTCTGGTTAAGGTAGAACGACATACTCTGCAGCATCTAAATGAAATTTGGTGATTGCTGGTTAAGGAGTACTCTACTTTCTGGAAAGTAGGCTGCACTTATTGACAGGCAAGACAATGTAGAAAAATGAGTGTAAGTTTCATGTTTAAAGATACATATATTCTTGTATGTATTTGATGCATTTGACAGGTTTTCTTTTGCATGAGTCTTTAATAAATCAAAAAATTATAGAGTCCTAAGTTGGACACAATAGATTTCAATGTGTTTTAGATTCTAAAATAAAGTCCTTTGCTCAACTTTTGGTAACAGATCCAGCTTCAGCTTCGGCGAACACATGCAGGCTTGGGGACAGGCAAACCATCCTCAATTGAAGATGTTCACCTCCTTCAAAACAAGAACAAAAAAAACTGGGACAAAGCACGAGAGCGGTTTACTGAAAACTTCCCAGAAACTAAACCTCAAAAAGATGACCCAGGGACTATACCTTGGGTAAAAGGGACTTCAGAGTAAAGGTTAATCATAGAAGAAAACTTTAGCTTTTTTAAAAAGACAGTTTGGAAACTCATTTTTTCTTCCCAAAAGAATCAGAAGCATGGGTGAACTGGGTCACAGTTTACCTCTTCCTGATTCAGAAATGTGTAATAAAGTATGGTTTGCAGCTTTTAAAAACTATTTTTTTAAACTAGTAAATAGTGACTGAATCAATTTATGCAGTAAGTAGACTAAAGTTCACAAGGCACAGATGAGTTTATCAAACTTCATTATTTTATCTTGTCATTTACAACATCCATATAAAGCAACTAGCTAAGCAAAATTCGTATAACTAATGACTTAAATGTACCAGTTTTTGTCTCTATATATTCATGTAAGATGCACAACAAAAGAAACATCAAAAGTTTATAAAAATAAATCTGACTATATGCATCATTATCTGTGCCCTTTAGAACCTAGATAAAAAATGTTGAGAAAACATGGGTAGTGGCGCATACATTTTGTTATCCTTGAAATAGCCTAAGTAATATTATTGAAGAACTAATGAACAGGCAACATGCTGTAGAAAATTAATCTTTCATTGTTTTCTTCTGTGAAGAATCTGTTGATTTGTACTATATATTCAGCATTTATATTTGGTTTGTTTCATAGCTAATGAGATATTTAGATATGAACAACTGAATACATATTGAAATAGTGTGCTGGCATTTGTAGTTTTGATAAATACCATTGCAGGCAATGGAGTTGTGCCAGAGAAATCTGATTTCTAGTACAAAAGGAATACTTAGCCAGGGCCTAAAGCTCAAGATATTTATTGAAAAAATCCTCAGTTGCAATAAAAACATTATAACATTAAAAAGAGTGATTTGTTGAAGCAGCAATTTAAATGTATTGATCTGCTTTGAATTTGCAACCAGCCAGAATTTGCTAGTTAAAATTGGCAGAGTTATAACAAAGGAGAGCCTCAAAGATGAGATACTTGCAGTGCAGCTTTCTGGGTGCAGGTGTCACTGCTCGGCCAGCTATCATTATTCTGTTCAGTTTTTCTCTCAGGTGTTTGCTGGGAAATGAACACTGGAGCTGACCCTTTTCTGGCAGTGAATGTGAACTCTAGCCTCCCTATCTACTATAAAGAAATGTCTTCAAGATGTAGAAATAAGGACTATTTTGAAAAAAAATTATACAGTAGTAAAGATAATTCAGAAAGGAAAAGCTACCTGTTAGAGTTTCAAGTCTTAATGGCACAGGTAGTTACGGAGAAAAGGGGATGGAGAAAGAGAAACTATGACTAAAAATGAGAGGTATGTCCCTTAAGCTGGGACAATCAGGCCCGAAACTCCAAATCTGGATAAAATATTTCTTTGAATTCTTCTTGGCCCCCTGCATAGTCTGACACATACATATGTACAATTAGGCTTGCAGGCCGCAGGAATGCCCTGCATTGTTTTCTTTTCGTTAGAAATAAAAGGTATTAGTTTAAATGTGGTTCTGGTGCTGGTGCCCTGTATATATGTAACAATATAGGGGCCCCCCCCCCCCCAGATAGATTTTGCTTCTGGTGAATCTTATGCATTGGGTTAGTATATGACTGTCTGATATTTACCATTTGTATTATTATATTGGGGAAAACATTTTTTTTATCCTTTTCTATTGTAAAGAAAATGGAAAACTTAAGTATGGTGTTAAAAATGGAACTATATGTGATATTTGCATTATTAAACCCCTTGGCAGATCTAAAGTCTCAGGGTTCCACTATTAGTGGTTAAAGTACTGAATAATGTCTGGGTCTACTTCCATTTGTAAAATAAGAATAATGTTTATCTCACATGTCTGTCTCGAATAGCAAACGAGAAAATGTATATAAAAGCACTTTGTAAATTGTAGAATTAGTACAGATGTGAGCTTCTATTTGTTTAGAAGCGTAAATGTGAATTATGTACAGTTTGAATTATGCATAAATTTTTTTGTGTCTAATATTTTAAATATTTGTTTATTCACACTATGCATTTTCTAACTGAGTAGCTTTTAAGTATGTATTTTAAGTGGAGCTGCAAGTTCCTGAATTTTAAGAAATCTAACATTTAATATTTTTGCCACAACATGAGAAGCTGGCAAAGTTGAGAACAGAAGAAACCTTCAACATTAGAGTAAATAGAAATTTTTTCCAGTGTTAAATAGAGGAAGCACTCTTGTCCTCAAAAATAGGAACTCTTCTGCTTTTGAAACAAGTGTTACTTCTGATGTTTCATTTTTATTCTGAACTGATAGAAAGTAATGGTTTACGCAAATCAAAAACCTTCTGACTTTTCATATAAAATATTTTTTATGGTTTTTATTTTTATTTTTGAGACAGAGTCTTTCTCTGTTGCCCAGACTAGAGTGCAGTGTGCAATCTCAGCTCACTGCAACCTCTGCCTCCTGGGTTCAAGCCATTTCGTGCCTCAGCCTCCCAAGTAGCTGGGATTACATGCGCATGCCAACATGCCCGGCTAATTTTTATATTTTTAGTATAGACGGGGTTCACCATGTTGGCCAGGCTGGACTCCAATTCCTGACCTTAGGTGGTCTGCCTGCCTTGACCTGCCAAAATGCTGGGATTACACGCATAAGCCACCATGCCTGTCCAAAAGATTATTTCTTAATTTGACATATTTTTAAAAAGCAGGCAAAGAAGAAAGAAATCTCAAACAAGGGAAAGCAAGAGTCTTTGGAAATTGCATACAAAAGCCATTCTGTAAAGTTGCAAGACAGAGGGATGTTCTTGGCAGGGGGCCAGAAAGCACTTGTGGACCCAAAACCCAAAGGCAGTCTCAGGAATAGTTAAAAGTATTTTCCACACCATTTTGTTCTAAGTATGCTTCTCTTGTTAGTATGGCATGACTTATTTTTCTGCTCTGAATCTTTGATTCAAAACATTTCGTTTTACTTTTTCAGCCTTTAAAGTGGAAATGCATTTTGATTCTTTAAAATGAGGCAGTGGTTACTATGTTTCTGTGCGTTTCAGGGTGCAGGCTGTCTTTTCTGCTTTACTAATCTTAGTGTTGGCTTATGGCCTTGTAGTTTCAAAATGGCTTTTGAAACTTTAGACGTCATATTCATACCTAAAGCAGAAAGAGGAAAGAGCAGTGTGAAGTGCTAGTTCTCTTTTTTTTAGGAAAACAAAAGCTTACTCAAAAGCTGACTTTTTAGGGTCATTAGCCAGAACGGGATAGCATGGCTGCCCATAGAAGAAGAGATGTTATAAAAGTAGGCAACAAGATGGTCACATCTGGCTTAAGCCAGTCATGAACCATCACCTGCAGCTGAGAATGTTGCCATTGGAACAAAATAGCTTCAGTGAACCAGAGAAAAGGGGGCAGTGGATGTTGAATGGGCATGTTGGTAACTGTCTGCTAGATAACATACCTGTCCATCAGTAGAGACTAGAGGGTTGCTTAAATTGTGATGCATCCCTACTATATAATAGTTTCTAGCCATTCAAATGAATAAGATAGAACTGCCTATACCCTAGTATAGAATATCTCACTAGATTGCTGATTTTAAAAAGCAGATTATAGTAAAGTATATATGGCATAATTCCATTTTTATTTTTAAATTATAAAGGTACATAGTTACTAATTACCCAGTGAGCAAACTTTCATTTTTTATTTTATTATTTCTATATTTGAACTTAAAAAAAGTAAACAGGTATAAGTGTGTGGTTAATATATATGTATATACACATTTGTGGTAAGAATTTACCCAGAAGTGGGGAGGCCTTCATGGCTCAAACCCAGGCATTTTTCTCATATGTATACCCAGTTTCATTTACCATCTATAAACTCATGACTTCTAGGCTGTCTTGGGATATTGATTCTGAGCTTATGACCTACATATCTACCTCAGAGTCACTTTAAATGCAACTCCAAGACGAACTCCATAATCTCTCCAAACCTCATCTCTTCCAGTTTACTCTCTCCAGGTGGTAACATCATCCATCCAGTTGTATGAGCCAGAAGCCTAAGTCAGCCTCTGTTTCACTACTACCAGCTTTTCTCCCCGTTGTCTGTTTCCAACATATTAAATCAGTTCACTGTCACCACTCACCTGAATTATTCTGAGGGCCTCCTAACTTGTCTTCTTGCAGTCACTCCTCCATCCACCACACTGCAGACAACTCCCATCTCATTGTCTCCTGTTTGGCTTCCCATTACTTTGAGGCCATAAGATCCTAAAGGATCTGGCCACTGCCAACTTTCCCAGTCTCATCTTGTGTCACTTCCTACTTGTTCTCTGGGTCCTAGCATGCTGGCTTTTTTTTTTTTTTTTTTTTTTTTTCAGTTTGTGAAACAAAGCCACCTTCTCTGATCATGGAGACTCTCACATTGCATTATGTGTGGAATGCTCTTCCTCCCCCATTTTACATAGTGAATTCTCACATGGTCTTTAGGTCTCTACTGATTAAATCTTTAGGGATGCCTCCCTTGAAGCCCTGGATTAGATAATTGCTTTTGATTTGTATTTTGAAAAACCATTTCTTTCATTTAGACCACTTAGCTTGGTTCACGGTTGTGTATTAGTGTGGTTAGTGTAATATTTGTCTGTTTCTCTAGATTCTAAGTGCCCTGTGAGCAGGACTTTGGTTATGCTTACTATTGCATCCCTAGGGCCTAGCACCACATCTGATGTATACACCCATAGGCACCGAAGCAAACAATAGGTAACTGCAAGTGGCTTGATGGAGTTTTATCAAGCTGTGACTGAAGAAACATGGGAACTGAGGCTACATAGAGCTTTCAAACTATTTTGATCATGATCTACAATATAAATACAATGTATAACTCGGTATACGAGCATGTTCATAGCACATGTAGCATAGATTTTGTATACCAGTACTTTGCCATTAGCTCATGTAATGTACTCTTGTTTTCCACATTGCTGATTGCATCCACTAAATTGATTTCATAATGCACTAATAGGCTGTGTCCTACAATTAGATTTCAAACCTTTTCACAGAACTCATTGCATTGCCTTAGGAACTGCAGCTGTGTGAGTCTATGTTTGTGTGTGAGGTGGGGAGAGTTTAGGATGCCAAACTGTGGTGACTCCAGTTCTCAGGCTCATTAACTACAATAGGTCTACATTCATCTGGTTTGCAGTTCAAGCTTCCAAATAGGTTTGATTGCATAACAAAGACGGGGTGAACAAAACAGCCTCTTACCTGTGGTCATAACTGTACATTGTGTTAAGAAATTTACACCATTAAGAAATGAAGGATTTTATCTCTGAGACAATGAGAAATTCACTGAAGGATTTTAAGCAGGAAAGGAACCTCATTAGATTGCTTTATAGCAGAATAACTGTGGTTGATTGAAAGGAGGCAGAGTGGCGGCTGGAAATCTTGAGAGTAGGATGACCTCTCTGAGAGTTTGTTCAAATATTTGTTGAGCATCCACCTAGTGCTGTGCACATCTTGGAAGCAGGAAACTTCTTTGTCTTGACTGCTCTGTCTTCAGCACCCATGCACAGGATTGGATGTATGGGAGGTCCTCAATAAGCATTTGCTGGTGGAATGGGTGAACATTTGTGTTGCGTCTGGCACAGTGCTAGGCCTTTAACATATATTCTTTATTCTGGACTCCATTTTATGAATTAGAAAACGGAGGCTTAGGAGATTTTTATTTTGCTCAAAGTAAAAAAGCCTATGTGACAGAAGTGGCAGGCCTGGGGTTTCTGTCTTGATTCTTTCCATCCCAAGGGATGATTAAGAGCACAGGCTGAAGAGTCTGACTGACCTGGATTTAAATTAAAATTTCACCACTTTCAAGCTGAGTGACCTTTAAAAATTTATTTGAACCTCTCCATCCAAGTGTCTTCTATGGAGTTTGTAACTGCCCATTGGGTTGTTGCTTGCTGCCCAGATAAAGCCATTATATCAAGACAGGAATTGCAATAGAGAAAGTTTAATTCACGCAGAGCTGGCTAAGTGGGAGACTGGAGTTTTGTTACTCAAGTCGGTCTCCCTGAAAAATTGTTTTTTTTTTTTTTTTTTCAAAGGATAATTTGGCAGGTAGGGGGCTAGGATAGTGGGGAGTACTGATGGATTTGGTCAGAGTTCAAATTAATAGGAGGTCAAAGTGGGTTCTTCTTGCTGTCTTCTGTTCCTGGGTGAGCCAGGACTGGTTGAACCAGATTATCAGTCTGGGTGGCTCCAGCTGGTGCATCAGAATGCAGGGTCTGAAAGATATCTCAACCACCAATCTTAGGTTTTACAAAAGTGATTTTATCCCTAGGAGCAACTGGAGAGGTCCAAATCTTTGGTTGCATAACTCCTAAACAATAATTTCTAATCTTGTGGCTAATTTGTTAGTCTTACAAAGGCAGTCTGGTCCCCAGGCAAGAAGGAGGTTTGTTTCAGGAAAGTGTTGTTACCATCTTTGTTTCAAAGTTAAAATATAAACTAAGTTCCTCTGAAAGTTAGTTTGGTCTTTGCCCAGGAGTGACTAAGGACAGCTTGGAAGTTAGAAGCAAGATGGAGTCAGGGCAAATCTCTTTCATGGTCATAATTTCTGCAAAGGTGGTTTCAAGTTTTGGTGAAGATTGAGATAAGGTTTGTATGGCACTGAGCACACTGTCTGGCACATAATAAGCCCTCAAATATTAGTGATTATCAGCATTGTTATTATCCATGGTAGCAATGCCAAGGACATGGTTGTAGGAGTAGAATCCCAGAGTAGAGATGGAGGTTACTGAAGTCAGGTAGGACAAGGAATGAGGCTAGCAAGTAGATGGGTCATCCCCATTCCTCAAGGCAATAGGAGATAGGTGTAGACAAGAAGACTCAGTTAGGAGCTGGATTTTTAAGTGAATATTGGAGAATGAGCAGGAGATTGGTAGACAATAGTGAGAAAGGATAGAAGTTACTATAGGTGACTCTCATCATCCTCAAAGGAGGAATGGATTCTACATGACTTTGGAAATGGAGTCATCTGGTGGAATGATAGGGAAATCTAGCCAGACAACTCTGGCTCTCAGTACTCCATGGGAGCACAGGAGCTACAGGGAGAATTCTTAGAAGAACTAGATTTCAGATCCCCATATGTAAAAATCTTTCAACAACATACATTAATTCAGCAAATAGTCATGAAGCAAGTAGCATAGGCCAGGCACTGTTCTAGGCACTAGGGATACAGTAGTGAACAAAACAGGTAAGGCTCCCTGCCTTCATGGAGCTTACATTTATTTTTTAGATAGGATTTGGCAGAATGTAAAGTCCAAATAATACATGCAGGCCATGATAGTTTCAGAGAATATTAATCCAAAATAGTTTCTGTTCATTCCAAAGTTTTAAAGCAAAATTTTTAAAGCCACAATTTGGGTGGAGTATGTGGTGGGGGAAGGATTGGGGTTTTTTCCTTAATGTTTTCAGTCTGTTTCTAAACCATATCTATTTACGGGACTCTTATAAAACTCTGCCTTCAAAATCTTTTTAGTTATGTGTTTGAGAGCTCTGCGTATGCAGACAACAAACGGGACCTCATTGAGGCTGCAGCCCCTTGTTCAATTATGTATGTCCTCTACCTGCTCAGACATCTGGGTTCTACGGTTCTAAATGTGAGCACTAAGTACAGTCATGTATCACTTAACAAATGGGGATATGTTCTGAGAAATGCCTCTGGTGGTTTTGTCATTGTGCAAACATTGTAGAGGTACTCACACAAACCTAGACGGTACAGCCTATTATACACCTAGGCTATATGGTATACCAGTTGCTCCTCGGCTACAAACCTGTACGGCATTCTGAATACTGTAGGCAATTCTAACGCAGTATTTGTATATCAAGACATATCTAAACATAGAAAAAGTACCGTAAAAATACAGTATTATAATCTTATGGGACCACTATTGTATGTGTGGTATGTCATAGACTGAAATGTTGCGTGGTACATGACTATACAAAAAAAAAAAAAATTGCATTATGCAACTTATGACTATACAAAAAAATGCAACAGGAATCAGGTAACTGGAAACTGGAAGTGAAGGAGAATGTGTAAATGAAAAAGTCTCTGGAGGGTGAAGAGCAGACACAGATGGGAAAATTAATGTGACTGGAGGTGAACAATTTTTGCCTGCTATGTAAGAATGTCTTTTTTTTTTTTTTTTTTTGAGACAAGGTCTTCCTCTATTGTCCAGGCTCCGGAATGCAGTGGCATGGTCATAGCTCACTGCAGCCTCCACCTCCTGGGCTCAAGTGATCCTTCCACCTAAGCCTCCTGAGTAGCTGGGATGACAAGTATGTACTAGCACATCTGGCTAAAAATTTTAATTTTTTTGTAGATATGGGGTTTCCCTATGTTGCCTAGGCTGGTCTTCAACTCCTAGGCTCAAGTAATCCTCCCACCTTGGCCCTCCCAATGTGCTTGGATTATAGGCCTGAGCTACTGTGCCCAGCCAAGAATGACTTTTGGGAATTCTTCCTTTAAAAAACTCACTCTTCATCTATGTTAAAATGCTATGGTATTTCATTGCCCAGCATGACGAATACAGGGAGAAGCTGTGGAATATTATCAAATGTATTTAAACATGTGACAGTGTTTTACTTAGCTTCCAATTACTAATAGACTTCAGAGGGCATAAGGTTGCCAGCTCATTCATCTGGTCATTACTTATCTTGACCAAAAGCCCATGAGAATATATACTGAAAGAATAAAGCTTTCAGTATCATTTAATGTTTTTCCTTAAAGCCTCATTTTAATACTGTGAAACCAGATTTCAGAGAATGTCATAATTAAGATTTTCATAAAAAGAAACATTTAATACTGTTTAAACATATAATGACTCCCAGTGCTACCTGAATTCATTCACATCATAAACCAACTAAAATGGGCTTTAATCTCCACAGTGACCATGCTGCCTTTACTTAACCTTAATATACCACTATCAAGACCAATTTATCAGCCACACTAAAATAATTATCATTGTTTTATTATAATCTAACCTTATTAACCAGAAATGTTAATCTGGTAATCATCTACCATATTCACCAGACTCTGAGTAACTGGCAGCTCTTTTAAAAAATTAAATTTATCATGGAAAGATGAGTATTTGCCAACTCAAGGATGTTTTAAAAAATGTGCTAGGGACTCATGGCCACTCTAAAAGAGGAGTTCCAGAAATGTTTAAGCATTTTGGGAATAACTGTATAGTCTTCCAGGTCTTCAACTTTGAAGAGAAAATGACTTAGATGGGTAGATTTGTATATACCTTTGGGATTCATCAGATTACTTTGTAGTCACAAGTCATACTGAGTTTTGACAGGAGCAGTTCATTTGGCAACTATTTGATAGAAAAATATTAAATAGTTCTATTGGAAAGGGAATGTCTTGGCAGATCTCTGAGGCTTGTGTGTAGGTTTTCTCAGGAATCCTCCCAGGGAACCTGCTCTTCTGGGTTCCATGGGAATGGTTTCAGGTGAGCAGTAGGCGCCCCCAAGGCCAGAGGCAGAAACTCATTAAGTAGGCTGGAGTCAGATGACAGCTACAGCCACCACCTCCTGACAGTGGACAAGTCACTCTCTGGGACCTGTGTTACCTCATCTGTCAAATGATGGAGCTGGTGGACAAGGGCTGCATTTCTATCTAGGATTTTCTGGAAATGGGGATTATATCCATGCTTGTGTTGGAGATTTTAACTAAGGAAGATGAATGCTGAAGGAAAGGATTTTTTTTTTTTGTCTGCAAACAAATTATTTTTTTTTATCATAAAAGTAATTCATACTTAGTGTAAAAAATTACAACAAGGCAGAAGTGTAAAAAGCAGAAAGTAAAAACCTCTTCCCTTAACTCAGCACTCAGGTTAATTGTTCTCTCCTATCTCCTCAACAGGACATTCAGGCTCACGCTAGCCATCTTTGAGGAAGTAAGACTCTAAAAGTAAATCTTTGCTATGTTTTAATGGTTTTTACAATTGATGAAATAGAAGATTTAACATTTGTGGAAGGTTTTTTTTTTTTTTTTCCTTCTAAACAGGAAATTCAGATCATCTAGCTCAACTTATAAGTCCATATGGAGAAGTTAAATTCCAATACTTGAAAATAATTTAACTATTACTAGAGTAATGTAAAAATTGCAAAAGACAAAAGATTAAATGCTATTAAAATGTGAATAGCAGTTTTAAAGAGGTGACAGGACTTTGGGGTATTTTTTCTATTCTTCCTAGATTGAGGCAATACATTTAGTGTTATTTGTATAATAACAAAGTACATTTACATACCAGAATAGTTGATTGATTGGATTCAAACCAAACAGCCCAATAACTGATGCATTAAATCTTTACTGACTAAACAGTTTAAAAAATTATTTCCTTTTAAGCTATTTGTTTTTTTACTCAGAATTAAAGATAAATGATTATATTAATAATTACAGGAAAACTAACTTGTAAAAATCTTCAACACTGAATGGGTTCAGCACCTCAAATATGTATTGAGCAGTTATGGACTGCAAGGCACTGTGGGAGTGGGGTAAGTATACTTCCCCCAAGGGCTCAGGGTCTGGCAGGGGAGGTAAGATACAAACCCGTAGCCATACACTAGCTGACCTGTCCTGAGGGTTGTGGGACATAAAATGCTAGGAGACCAGAGAAGTAAGAAATGTCGTCACATGAGAGTAAATCAAGGAAAGCGTGGTTTTAGAAAATGGGTGGGATTTTTCTTTTTTTGTACCAAGAGACTGAAGGGGCTTTTTAAAGTGGAGGGAAGGCAAATTGAGGCATAGAGTTGCCAATACCAGGTCATGTCAGGAAGAACAGAGTCCAATTTGGCTGGAGCATAGAGCATATGTAGGGGAGGGGACAATAAGACTGGCATGGGGGTCGAGGGGGACTTGAATGTCACGTGACAGAGTCAGAGCTTGCACTCTAATAAGGAGGTGATTGACAGGTGATCTTGAAGGCTTTTGGGCAGGAAGAGTTATACAATAAATCAATATTGGCCTAGGACAATCCCTTTGGCTTTGGCCAAATTGTGACTCAGGTAAGGGACAGTTGGGCGAAACAAGGATGGGAAGATGCATGATAAAATGGGCTTGGCAGGCATGAGGAAGGCAGTGCAGTATTTTGTACAAATAGACTTAGCAGAGCAGGCACCCAGCATTCAAACCCCACACAGATTCTTAGCGGCTGTATGACTTGAAGGTGTTACTAACTCCCCTGAACTTGTCTCATCTACAAAATGGGCATAGTAGCACCTATGTCATGGGGTTGCTTCATGGCAGGTAATTGTTGTAGTAAAGCATTTAGCACACCTCTGATGATGCATACTGAATGCTCAGTAAATATTAATGTCACTAATTCCAGTCAACTCAATTAACTGGAATTAATTAGTTGGAGTTAGGAAGGAAACAGGTGTCACCTGCATAGACTGAGGGAAGCAGAGCTCTCTCAAAGTAGAACATGGCGGTACAGTGGCAGCATGGCATCTGTGCGGGAGACTGTCTACAGTGGGATCCCACTTCCGCTGGCCAGCTGTGGTCTTGCACAGGCTACTGAACCCCTTTCTAGCTTAGTTCCTTAGCTGTAAAGCTAGCAGTGTTACCATGGAGCTGCTGTGTGAGAGTAAAATGAGATAATTAATGCATGTTAAGTGTGTAGTATGTGCCCGATACGTTGTTAGTGCCCAGTAGATGCTAGTTATCAGGTGAGGGGTGGGATGTGGGGTTGAATAGATTTGGCCCTCCTACTTGTAGAGGCAGGATGTGCAAGGACGGGTGGAGACATGCAGCAAGGGTTTGGGCATGAAGGACCAGGCCCGGGGAGAACACTCGGCCCGGAGATATTCAACAGTCCCTGGCCCAGAGGAGATTACAACTCTGCAGGGAGATGTGCCACAAGTGGAGTGTAGACATAGGCCTAAGGAAGCAATCAGACACATCCAGAATAGAGGACATTTGCTAAGACAGCTGGCCTGGATGCTTCAAAAGTGTCATGGGAAAATATGTTGGGGTTGTTCTAGACTATAACTGACGACAGAGTTGAAACCAAAAGAATGTATGAGCCTTGATTTGACCTGGTGGTGTTTTGTTTTTTTTTAAAAGACAAACATTCCGGAGACAGTTGTTGAACACTGATTAAGGGCGCTATATTAGAGGCTATAAAGAAGTTACTGTTTATATTTTTAGGCATGTCTTTGTTCTCAGGAAATCTGTGAGGAAACAGGGGTGAAATGTCATTATATGTACACATGCATGAGGTGGAAAGAACAGTAAATCTGGCAAAATGTTAGCAACCATTCAATCCAGGTGGAGGGTATGTATCTTAGTATTCATTGTGCTAGCCTTTCAAATTTTTCTGAATGTGTGGAATTTTTCAATATTAAAAAAATGAGAAAAAGAGGCCTGTGGAAAAACTGACAACCAGTACACAACAGGAAAAGGAATTATTTGGAGGAAAACAGGATCCACCTACCAAGGGAGCAATTTCAAGAAGGGAGAGATTAAGCAAAATGAAGACAGCAAACAGACCATCATTATTTGGTCACTGGGAGATTGTGGCAGCTTGGAAATAGTCCAGTGTAGCATAGAAAACTGACGCAGAGTGAAGGCGTAAAAACAGGAGGAAGTATAGGTGGCAAGGACTTGTTGGCCTTTCCCGACTGAGTCTTTTCAGTAAGAAAGGGAGACTGAGCATTGCTGAGGAAGAAGAGCCTGGGGGAAAGGGAGGGATTGAGACAGAGAAATGGGGAATAACAGGAGGAAAGACCCAGTAAACGTGGCAGAGGAATGGTATGGAAAATGACAGGAAGATGTGACCTTAAGTGGGAGGGTTGCTTTCTCCCTTGGCCCAGAGGTGAGGACTATGACGACATGTGGGGAAGAAACCGCTCTTCCTAGTGACAAGGGGATGAGGTGATGTCTTGCCAAGGTGGCAGATATGAGGCCCGAAAGTGGACATAGGTGCCACACTTGCCATTGGGTCAGAACCAAGGAAAGGATGGCCGAGGGGAGACAGAGTGCACCTGGTATTGGTTGAATAACGGGGAATAAAAAGGGGGGCTCTCTGGGACTGCCCCGAAGAGGGCTAGAGATGATGCGGGTCTAGAGCAGTCATGGAAACTAGAGGGGATGTGTCCCTCTTCCCCCTTCAGAACTTGGTGTTGGGCAGATTATGCATTAGGAACTCTTTTTTGGGGTAAAAAGCTTTCTCATTTCCGAGCACCTCTACCTTGGGCTGGGTGTATAGGCACGTGGTATGATAAGTCTTTGGTACGGAATGAAGTTCTATCCTTTCAAAGTCACCAGGTTCAGGTTCCCAGCCCTAAGCCGTCATGACACTGGGTGGTGTGGGTTCATGGAGCTGCTGGAGCTCTCCAGTGTCCCACGTGCCACCCCATCCTCTGGATGCATGCCCACGAAAGACTACCCAGGCACCTCAGGTGACCCCGTGGAAGTGAGTTTTGGTTCTGCTTTGGCTTCGAAATGCTTCTTAAGCTGAAGCCTTAGGGCGTGGAAAGCCCTACAGTTAGCGGGAGCTTCCGAGTGGGTAGCAGCTGCGGGCTCGGCCTCGGTCCCGGTCCCAGCGGGGGCTAAGGCGTAGGTAGGAGAAGAGACGGCCTGGGGTTGGGAAGTGGTCAGTCCCCTACAGGAGAACCTTCGTGATAACGCAGCCGTCCCGGTCCCCCTCGGGGTCGTCCTTCAGCAGTGGCGCGGCTGGAGCCCAGCCCAGGGCGCCCTCTCGGCGGCTCACCTCCCGCAGCCGCGCCTGCAGCGCCTCCCGCTCGGCCTGCAGCTCCCGGCGCGCCTGGGCCGCGGCGCGCTCCTCCTCCTGCAGCGCCCTCCGCCTCCGCTCCAGGGCGCGCTCGCCCAGCTCCACGGCCGCCTCGCGCCGCTCCAGCTCCCGTTCCCACCGGCTGCCGCGCACGGCCAGCGCGCCCATCTGCTCCAGCAGGCGCGCCCAGTCGCCCTCAGGGGCCGCGGCAGGACCGGCTGGCGGCGGGCAGGGCTCGGCCGGTGGCGAGCGTCGGGGGCCGCTGCTCTCCAGCTCCCGCCGGTGCGCACTCTTCAGGTGCCTCCACAGCGCCGAGGTCCCCGCGTGGAAGCCCGGGCCGCGGCCCACCTGCTCCCCGCACAGACGGCAGGTGGCCCAGTGGCCCGACGGGTGCCCGGGGCGCGCCGGGGCTAGGTGGAAGTAGCCCCAGGCTTCGGAGTACGGCGCCCCCAGGCGGCCGGGAGGCGTCGGCGCCGGCCCCAGTCCCGGACACCGACCGCCCTGCGCCGCAGCGTCGTCCCGCCCGCTGGCCTCGTCCATGATGCAGGCCGGCTCGTCACTCCTCATTCTGCGACGCCCGCACGCTGGGGAGCAGGGGAAGAATAATAATGTTAGGATCACGCACACATCTCCTAGACTACAGTTAGCCTAAGAAACCATGCCGCCCTCCATTTTCTTACCCATAAAAATCCTATAGTGTGGGACGATGTCTAGGTTTCTTTCTAATTAATCTTCAGTATTGAGTGTTGATTCCTCAGGAAAAAAACTGTATAGCCCTTCCTATTCTAGGAATCCTCTTTGAAATCAAGTGGGTCCCCAGTCAACAAGTATTTATACTAATGGCGGGAGGCTAAGCTGCTTGAACAGAACTAGCTAACTCCGTGCTGTGTGTCTAGGTATTAGCTTTAACCAGTGTCCGCTTTCTTAACAACAACAGCGACGAAAAGGTATTGTCTTCAGAATACCAGCCAGGCTGCCTTCTGTAATCTTCTCTGGGTTCTGTACAGCACACTTCAGCAATGACCAGAAAAGAAAGCTTTGGGAATGAAAATTTTGTTTCTTAAACTTCAGGAGTGGAAGAGCCACTGGTGAACAGCCTTTTAAAAAGCTTTCAATGACTGCATGTTTTTCGAGATAAAAATATCTGTTTTTTTTTTTTTGATTATTAAAAAGAATCTACGTGTGAGAAAATTGGCAATATTGAAAGCAGTGCTTTTAAAATATGCACATTTAGGAAATGGCAATATCCAAAGCAGCATTCTAAATTTTTACCTTTAAATTAGACAGTGGGTCATTTCCCAAGGACTCTGGGGTCCCCGTCATTGCCTCAGGGTTTCCAGCCCTCCCAGGTTCCAGGGGTAGAAACAATGCATGCAGCACGATTCCTGAGTTCTGAGGAACGAACCATCAGCAGTGCTAGGAGTAAATTCAGAGGACAGGCAGGCCAGTAAAAGAAATGCATCCAAACCACCTTAAAGGTAGATACTAGAAATACTGACCAGCGCCATTCCCCGTTGACTTTTTCTAACCCTATCATAGATACCCTAGGCATAAAACAAATAAAATTAGTTTTCTTTATTGTTCATCCGAACTAAAAGGTCCCCTCTACATATTTGCAAGATACAGAGTTTGGTCAATACTTTTAATTAAGAAAGAAAAAGAGATAAAAGTAATAATGTCTTGCTTTGTTCAACACAAAATCTGTTAAAGGGATCCAAACGTAATGCACTGACTACCACTGCACAGGCTTTTCTATTAGGAAAATAATTCTCCACTGCAATAACCTATCAAAGAAAAGGGAATACAGGAAAAGGTGAAGTTTATTCTTTAGGAAATAAGTTCACAAAGGACCAAATGTGTGATTCTAGATAAATTTGCTTTGAAAGTTGAGAAACAATGAGAAGAAAACACATGACGGACTTCTTGAGCTCTTCTGAGAACTTATCTCAGGGAGAAAATCAAGGTCAAGGTGAGACCCAGGCACAGTGAGATCAATTTCGCTCATACCGTCAGATTTTGAACCAGCAGCAGTGGAGATGACAAAGTTCCAGACTCTTTCCTGTTAAACACACTGGGAAAAACTGAAGACAAAGACAAGACTAGGAAAAATAAGCTGCTATAGTCATAGTAGCATTTAGTGTAAGCTATGAATTCAGTTGCTAATAGTCTTGTTACAGATGCACTGTACTTTTCGAAATGTAAGTATTCTTTTTCCCACCAAGTAAGTCTACTCTGGATCAGGCATGACATTTAACATATCTCTTATTTTTTAAAAAAGATAACAAATATACCAGAATCATCAAAAAACACAAGTACTATGCATCTTCTAACAAAGAAATGGCAATTTACATGTCTTCTGAGACACAGGCATTGATTTAAATATGGTCAACCATGATAAAGACCAATTAGCATAAAAAATCTTTAGAAATTAAAGGCTAAATCACTTTTAAGAATAATATTTTTATGGCCAATAAATATGACGGTTATGTAACATTATGGTTGGTAAACAGTAAGATTTAAGTGTTACAAACATTTTTAATTATCTAACTTTACCTAGAATTTTTCCTATACTTTTTTCTTTTTTTTAAATTTCTATTTCCTTCTATATTGAATCTGATCTTTCCTGAGGTCCTTTTTTATTACTGGATATACACAAAAGTGGAGAGACTATTATAATGAATCTTTGTGACTGGCTTATAAATTGAAAGAGATGTAAATGTTTCCTATAACATTAAGAGTATTGCTTTGCGTTCTGATATGCTTTCTTGAGTTAAGCTTGGAAGCTTCACATAAACCCACAGATTCTCTTACTTGTGCCAAAGTCTGAGAGTCATCCTTACTAATGTGCCCCTAATAGTGCCAGAGGTGACCAATTACTGTCATGCTTTTTCCTCTCTTGAGTTTCTTTAAAAACTATAATGCCCAGAGGGAGTGTTGCACAGGTGAAAGCCATCTGTTAGGAGTTAAAGTGGGCACAAGGGTGAGAAGCACTGACTTTGATGTCTTCATCCATTGACCTCACCTGAGCCAGGGACAAGCAGCATCACAAATGTTGGCCAGCACAGCACTGCCCCTCCAAAGGTGGCAGGGGGACATCCTCTGCCTGGGCAGCCCTTCCATTTTGGAGGTCTTAACCGGTAGAAGGCAGCATGGGGCAGAACTGCCTCACCTTCTCAGTCCTCCACACCATGCGGCTGTATTCTAGCTCCATACAGTCCTCAGTATCTACAGTGACCAGCAGTCTATGGCCACAGGCCGTAACAGCCTGGTTAGCTCTGCTAAACAATCGGGGTGTATTTCAGGTGCCCCTGCAGTGTGAGGGGGAAAGGCCTCTTCAGACTCTTCAGCCACACCATAACACACAAAGAGCTCTTCAAACTGACAATAAAAAGACAAAGAACCTGATAGAAAAACAGACGAGAAATATGAGTAGGCAAATGACCTAACAGCAAACTCAAATGGCCAGGAAGTTCGTGAAAAGGTGCACAACATCACTTATATTCAGGGAAATGCTATTAAGGTAGCAATAAGGTATCATTTTACATCTGTCACACCCAGAAACATTAAGAGGCCTAACAGCCAGGGTTACAAGGGAGGTAGAGAAAAGGCACACTTCTCAATTACTAGTAAAGATGGGATGGATTTTAGGAAAGCAGTCTGGCCATTTCTTCTTTCTTTCCTTTTTTTTTTTGAGACAAGGTCTTGCTCTGTCACCCAGGCTGGAGTGCAGTGGCGCAATCTCAGCTCACTGCAACTTCTGCTTCCCAGGCTCAAGAAGCAATTCTCCTATCTCAGCCTCCCAACTAGCTGGGACTACAAGTGCATCCCACCACACTTGGCTGATTTTTGTATTTTTTGTAGAGACAGGGTTCCCCCTATGTTGCCCAAGCTGGTTTTTCTTGAACTCCTGGGCTCAAGTGATCCACCCACCTCGGCCTCCCAAAGTGCTCGGATTACAGGTGTGAGCCACCACAGCCAGCTGCAATTTCTATATTAATTAAAAATAGAGGCTGGGCTTGGTGGCTCACACTTATAATTAGGAGGCCCTGGTAGGTGGATCACCTGAATCAGGAGTTTGAGACCATCTTGGCCAACTTGGCAAAACCCCATCTCTACTAAAAATACAAAAAATTAGCTGGGCGTGGTGGTGGGCGTCTGTAATCTTAGCTACTCAGGAGGCTGAGGCAGGAGACTTGCTTGAACCTGGGAGGCAGAGGTTGCAGTGAGCCAGGATTGCATGATTGCACTCCAGCCTAGCCAACAAGAGCAAAACTCTGTCTCAGAAAAACAAAAACAAAAAACAAAACCACCCTTGGCTCCTCAGGCATGTGAGCTCAGGCAGGGCCAGCCCAGCCTTAACTGTGGAGACTAGTGGGACAGTCCCATGGGGAAGCTCATTGCTGCGCTTCCCCGTGGGAGGAGGAAACCCAGCATGTGGGGCTGCTCATTGTCAGGTAGTTTGCTGTGCCTTGCAGAAGGAGATTCTGTATCCACATGCAGGATGTCATGGAAGAGGAGCTCATCCCATTCATCTTTCTGGCACAGGGTAGACAGTTGGGGGATGCTGCATTGAATGAAATGAACCTGACTCTGTTTTTTTAGCCCCGCCCACCCGAGTCTCAATCTTCCCAACTGTCAAGAGAAATAAGAAGATTGTTTGACTCTAAACAGGTGGCTGAGATCAGATAGTGCAAATGATGTCACTGTTGGACTCTCCAGTGTTATATAAATTCAAGGGATGAACAAAAAAGAAACTACCAATATTTACTGCTCAGACATGCCCATGTTAAGATTTTAGTGGCTAAAAGGCAGTTGTTTTTCCATTTGACATGTTATTCAACAGAATAAGTAGTCTAAGTTGGAGGAATCCCCTTGGGAATTGTTTGTGAATACAAAGAGCAAATAAAAAAGAGTAAAAGATCCAAGACCCTTACCCCTTAAATTTATTTTAACTTTGTAAATTGACCTTCATGTAAAATAGCTTGCTTATCACTAAGGTAAAAGAAGATAATAGGGAGGTTTCATTAGCCAAAGTCCTGTGAGATGCATTTCTTCCTTATCAAGTACCGAATGAGAATGCATATCATTAATTCTGTAGTTAGCTAATAAGAAGAAAATGAAAAGTAAGAGCTCCCTTAATTTTTCTTTGAACATTTTTTTAAACTAATACAAATGTGCCAGTGAATGTGAGTATTTTGCTTATATCCATCCACTCCATCCAACTCTCATTCAAATGCTCATTGTGCACCTGCTAAGGTCAGGTGCATGCTTTCTGCCAGGCATTCCAAGAGGAACATCACATAGTCTCCACCCTCAGGTAGCTTACCATCTGGTGGGGAAAGAGATGCTGCCAACAATAATTCTGATGCCTGTGAGATATGGTTTGGCTGTGCCCCCACTCAAATCTCATCTTGAATTGTACTCCCATAGTTCCCATGTATTGTGGGAGGGGCTCAGTAGGAGATAATTGAATCATGGGGGCAGTTTCTCCCATACTGTTCTCATAGTAGTGAATAAGTCTCATGAGATCTGATGGTTTTATAATGAGAAACTCTTTTTTGCTTGACTCTCATTCTATCTCATGCTGTTGCCACGTAAGAAGTGCCTTTTGCCTTGCGCCATGATTGTGAGGCCTCCCTAGTCATGTGGAACTCTAAGTTCATTAAATCTCTTTCTTTTATAAATTGCCCAGTCTCAGGTATGTTTTTACCAGCAGCGTGAAAACGGACTCATAGACTGTGGTAAAGTTGAAATCAGTGCTCGCTCCTTAGGGTGAATTCCATCACATAATCTCCACCAGGGAAGGGGCTGGCGTGGGCATCTCCTGGGAGCTGAGGTCTTGGGGGCCTAACACAAAATTTCATGCAGTTCAGCATCCCTTCCCATCCCATGCCCCACAGGGTGCAAACGCATTGTTATCCACCACCAAAACACATTACTCTTAGTACTCAGCTCTAATAAAGTTCCAATTCCTCAGTTGTATAATGAGGCTTCCAAGCTCCTAATTTAAAAGAAAATTTATTTAAGCTAAATAAAAGCACTGCTAACATGAAATTAACAGTGTAAATTTCTGAGTGCAATTTCAGGGTAAAAAAACTGAAAAGACAAATGGAGATTTTAGCTATTTCAAGGAAGGAGAGAGAGTAGTGTTGCTGGTACCATGCCTCTGCTCTCGCTATAGCTGGGTTTCATTATCTGGAAGGAGTTCGAAATCTAAGCCTGTGGAAGACGATACATTCACATTAATTATCTCTCCATTTGACTCAATTTCTGAAGAAGTTCTATCCTGATAAACTATCAGATTAAAACCCAGATTCCTCAGTATGATGGCCCTGAATACCAATATAAAGAATAAAGGAAGAGATTAGAACCTGGATGAATAATCTGTATAAATATGGGCATATAAACAAGGTATGGCTATAATATCGACAGTCATCCTATAAAGCACCCACAAAAGTTAATTGTATTATTTTATACTTATGCTTGCACACATAAAAAATATAGGCAGGCTAAAGGCTAGAGAACTAGGCAATGTTCTCAAAAGGACATAGCAAATGAATTACACCTTTATTTGTCCTTTCATACTCAAGGCTACTCACTGTAGTTGGGTTATCCAGGCAGAGTTTTAAACAGATATATGTTGGTTGAGCCTGGATCTTAGACAGGAAATTCACACTAATGTGAAGTTCACAGACATATGTGGAAACACTAAAAACATTTTCATTTACTTCACCAGTGACTTTAATCAAAGCAGAACATAATAATTAATACAAATAATTAGACTTGACAACTGAAGTGTCAAGAAAATCACAGTTCATCTGTTATCTGTCCATCTCTGTTGAACTATTAGTTTACTGCCATATATTAATCTATTTATAAACAGATCCAGACAATTAGAAAAATGAGTCTGGAATCACCAGGCTGAAGGTTTAGCTCAAGTTAAAAGACAAGTAAAAATGCCTCCAAGCTGTAAATCCTAAATTGGGGAATAAAGAGTAAAATGTGAAAAAGCTTAGAAGAAGGTTATATATGGACTGTAAAAAATACACTGGACTCACAGGTAATTATGTGGTGAGTCAGAGATGTTTCCTAAATGTCATAAGCCAAACTCTTAAAAGGCAAAGAAGCACTTTCTCTCTGTTAATGCACTTTTTAAAATGAAAATTGTGAAGTGTTCTGCCCTTAAAGTGGACCTTTATTTCAGGCCTGCATTACTTTGCTTAATAGATAGGGTTCTAAAAATTAAGGTGGTGATCCATTTTATCTTGTAAAAATGCATAATTTAATCACAGTTACAGGGATTTAAAGCTGCCCTACTTTGAAGGCCTTTGTGACTCAAAGATTTTTTAATTTTTAAATTGAGAATTACCTGGCTTGGGCTTTTGGTCTTTTTATAATATGTATTGCTGTATACATATATTTTTTTTAATTGTCGGTTGCCTCAAGCTATTCTTGCCTCCAAAAGGTGTCATAATAATATATGAATTAAAAAAGCAGAAAATAATTACCCTAATTAGGTCAACGTATTAAACTGTTTCTACAATAGTTTCTCTTAAACACCTATTTTTGTAGTCTTGGCTAATTAGAAATTCGACTGGTGGCAAGTACTCATTTTTTCCTTCAAAGGGGGTTTCTGCTTTGCTAACCAAGCCTCGGACATTTGGTTGGTGCAAGAAATCACATAAACTGCTCCAGCGGACTCGGAAAGGAGCGGAAAATTCTTTTGTTTGGGGACCACGAGGGGTGGGGGAGGGGTGGGGATTCTGGTGTGAGCATCTGGCTTACATTCGCTTTCTGCCCCCAAAAGTGGGCGACATCAAGAGAGTCCCAATTACAGAAAGAACCCACTGCAGGGCGCCCAGCCACTGTGCCCAGTGAAAAGACTGCAATCAGACAACTTTAATAAAGGGAGAGCTGGAGAGTGGCGAGCAGTTTCCATATTCCCAACGCGCTTGTCGAAACGGGAGTGTAGGGACGGAGCGAGAACGAGGCGCAGGAAGACGGCGAGCGGGGCTTGCCGCGCAGTCCCGGGCCCACCTGCCTCCTCTCGATCGCGGCAGCGGCCTGGGAGGAGGGCACGCCCCGCACGCGGGCCCGGGAGGCCGGCGGCGGCGTCCGCGGGCGCTGCTCACTTGTGCTCCCCGCCGCCCGGCCCGGCCCGCCTCGCCCACCGAGTCTCGAAGCCCACACTCACCCCGTCACCCGCGAAGCGCGGCCGGAGCCGGCGGCGGGTCGGGAGTCCGGGACGGCCGATCCCCCTCCAGGCGCCTCGCTGACATTTTGTCCCGGACGGAAACCTCCGCGCTTCCCCCTTAAAGACACAGCGCTCCATTCACGCGTCTGCGGGGAAAGGGGGGCCGTCACGTGGGGCCTTCACCCGAAAGCGGGAGGGGAGTCGCTCTGACACCACCAAGGTCCGCGAGCGACAGACTTGTGTTGGCCAGGGTTTTAAGATGACGCAGCAGCTGAGTGTGGTTCAAATGTAACTATTGTTTTACAACTTTGCATTAACCTTCCAAGACCTGGATTCCCGGGCCGGAGTTTCCGAGCGCGGTTTGCATCCTTGCAGGCTCCAGGAGCGTGATGTCACAAGTTATTAGAAGAAATTCCTCTAACCTAGGTCGGGACAGATGAAGGTGGCGCTTGTTGGTCTTAACCAAAACACCAACATGGTGTACAGTACCAGCTTTGCCTAGATTATGCTCAGGTAAGGAACAGCCCTTGCAACTCAATGGCTTAAAGGTCCATTTCTCAAGAGAATTACTGTGGCTGCAGGGAGCTTTCACAGTACTCCACCAGTTTTCTCTCCAGGCTGAAAGATGAACTTTTCTGGGCCATGCTCCCTGCTGGGCTGGCAAATCAGCTTTGAGGGAGAAGGGGAAGTCCTGATTTGCAGTATTTGCTATTTCTAAGATGTAAATACTCCCACCATGGCCGATTTCAGGCTACAAACAGTCTAACAAGTAACTTGCCAAGTTCCTGGAAATGTTAACAATTAGCTCTTGTACAGGAGTGGTACAATCTGCTCTTAAAACTCACGTACTGCATACCTCAGTTCTGCTCACATTCTGTTGGTCAAAGCTTGCTGTCAGCGGGTGGGAAAGTATAACCCTCTGTTAAGGAAGCCTTGCAAGTCGTGTGACAATGAAAAGGGAGAGTTCCCTGACCCCCCTTGCAGGACATGCAACAGGGGTGCGGCTCATGTGCTCACTCTGCCTTGCCCAAACCCCTTATGGGATGGCGAGCATGCAGATGGACAGGTGCAGGAGCCAGGGTGCAAAAGCTAGGACACTGGGCTTCCAGCCACAAGGCAGTATCCAGGGGCAGGAGCCTGTGATTCCCGGAGCCCAAGTGGGTGCGTGTTACAGTGTGCTCTTTTAGTCTTGCCGTCAGCTGATGGCTTAAGCGTTAACCAGCTCAATAGAAGTTCTGCATTTTTGCAAGGGCAGAGGCTCAGTGTGACAGCTTTCTGTATCTCGAGCTCTTGTACCACGTCCCAGAAGAATCAGGTCACACATGGATTTGAAGGATGGTGAATGCAGGGGTTAGGAGGATAGAGGGGTTTATTAGGTGGTAGGGGTGGCACTCAGTGAGATGGATGGGGCGCTGGAAAGGGAATGGAGTAGCAAGGTGATCTTCCCCTGGAGTTTGGCCATCCAGTGGTGGATTCTCTGACTGTCCCCAGCTGAACTCCTCCCAACATTTCTTCTCTTTTCTCTTTATATGCTGCTCCTCTGCTCTTCTATTCATCTGCTCATCTCCTGCTGCTGGAGCCTGGGGTCTGGAGTTTATATGGGTACAGGATAGGGGGCATGGAGGGCCAAAATGTAACTTTTGGGCATGAAAACAGGAATGCCTGTCCTCATTTAAAGCCATGGGTTTCCAGGCTTGAGGGTGGGGCCTTTGCCAGGGAACTGACTTCTACCCAATATTTCCCTGTTTTCCGTCCGTATCAACGATAAATGAGCTGAATAATACTCTTAAAAGGAGGGCAAGAAATAATTGGGTACAATAATACAATGCACCATTCCAATAATGATTTCAGAAGAAGAAACTGGTTGGGCATCTTCAAAGGCAGGGGTCCCCAGCCCTGGGCCATGAACCAGTACCCTTTGTGCCCTGTTAGCACCCTGGTGGCACAGCAGGAGGTAAGCAAGAGGCAAGCAAATGAAGGAAGCTTCATCTGTATTTACATCCACTCCACATGACTGGCATTGCCACCTGAGCTCCACCTCCTGTCACATCAGCTGGGGTGTTAGATTCTCATGGGAGCACGATTGTGAACTGCGCACATGTGAGGGATCTAGGTTGTGTGCCCCTTACGAGAATCTAAGGCCTGATGATCTGTCACTGTCTCCCATTACCCCCAGATGAGGCCATCTAGTTGGAGGAAAACAAGCTCAGGACTCCCACTGATTCTACATTATGGTGAGTTGTATAATTATTTCATTATATATTACAATGTAATAATGATTAAAGTGGACAATAATTGTGATGCACTTGAATGATCCTGAACTAATTCCCCACCCCTGCCCATGGAAAAATTGTCTTCCATGAAACTGGTCCCTGGTACCAAAAATGTTGGGGATTGCTGTTCAAAGGGATAACTTTGCAATGTGAAGGTCAGCTATGAGGTTACTACTTTTCTTCTGGCCCAAAGGATACTTACAGCTATGGACATCTGATGAAAAGAAAAGTAACTAGTATACTGTTGGTGGGAATGTATATCTATACAGCCATCGTGGAAAACAGTATGGAGGCTTCTCAAAAAACTAAAGATAGGACTATCATATGATCCATCAATCCCACTACTGATTATTTGTCCAAAGGAAAGGAAATCAATATATCAAAGGGATTCTTGATCAGTATATCAGTGGATGCAAGAATTCGTTTATTGCCGCAGTATTCACAATAGCCAAGATTGAAATCAACCAGTGTCTATCAACAGATCAGTAAAGAAAATGTGATATATATATATATATCACACATATATATATCACATATATATATATATATATATATATATATATATATGATGGAATACTATTCAGCCTGAAAAAAAGAATGAAATCCTCTCATTTGCAGCAACATGTAGGGAACTAGAGGTCATCTTGTTAAGTGAAATAAACCAGACACAGAAATGCAAAGATCACATGTTCACATTCATATGTGGGAGCTAAAGAAGTTGATCTCATGGAGTTACAAAGAAGGGTGTAGGGGTGGGGGAGTGAAGACAGGCTGGTGAATGGGTACAAGCAAACAGATAAGATGGAATGGGTTCTAGTTTTTGATAGCACAGAAGGGTGACTATAGTTAACATTGTATTTCCAAATAGCTAGAAGAGAAGATTGTTTTCTATGAGTTTGACTTTAATTTTTAAGATTCCACATATGTATGAAATCATGCAGTATTTGTCTTTCTGTGTCTGGCTTATTTCACTTAGCATGCTCTTAACAACAAGGCGTCCATGTTCTTGCAAATGGTAGGATTTCCTTTTTCTTTAAGGCTGAATAGTATCTATGTGTGTGTGTGTGTGTGTGTGTGTGTGTGTGTGTGTGTGTATACACACACCACAGTTTCTTTTATCATTCATCAGTTGGTGGACACTTAGATTGTTACCATATCTTTTGGCTTCTGTAAATAATGCTGCAATTAACATGGGACTGCAGATACTTCTTGGAGATAGTGTTTTTATTTCTTTTGGAAATATAGCCAGTAGTAAGTAGTACTGGGGAATCATATGGTAGTTCTATTTCTAATTTTTTGAGAAACCTCTATACTATTTTCCATAATGGCTGCACCAATTGACATTTCCACCTACAGGATACAAGCATCCCCTTTTCTCTAATCTTCACCAACACTTGCTGTCTTTCGACTTTTTGGTAATAGCCATCCTAACAGGTGTGAGGTGATGTCATTTTGACTTGCATTTCTCTGCTAATTAGTGATGTCGAGTAGAAGAGAAGATTTAAAATGTTCCCAATGTCAAGAAATAAGTGTTCAAGGCGATGGGTATCCTGAGAACCCTGACGATCATTACACATTGTATATATGCATCAAAATATCACATGTACCCCATCAATACACAAAAATATTTTGTATCAATAAAAAAATGAAAAAGAAAAGTAACTAGGCCAGGTGCAGTAGCTCACACCTATAATCCCAGCAGTTTGGGAGGCTGAGGCGGGTGGATCACCTGAGGTCAGGAGTTTGAGACCAGCCTGGCCAACATGATAAAACCCTGTCTTTACTAGAAAAATACAAAAGTTAGCTAAGCATGGTGGCAGGTCCCTGTAATCCCAGTTACTTGGGAGCCTGAGGCGGGAGAATCGCTTGAACCTGGAGGCAGAGGTTGCAGTGAGGCGAGATCATGCCACAGCACTCCAGCCTGGGTGACAGAGTGAGACTCCATAAAAAAAAAATAATAAAATAAATAAAAAAGAAAAGTAACTAGTATAAATGAATCAGGTTAAAGCCATCTCTAATTCGTGTTTAAATATTTGAACACATTTTTATAGTTTATTGTATCTGGCAATTCTTTTAATAAGAGGCTTTATTGCTTTGCATGTTTAAAAAATTCATTTAATTTTAAACTGACCATGTAATGAGATACACGGTATTTTCATTAGTTCATAGAGGAGTTTTTAGTAAGTGCTGGTTATGGGCAAAGCACCACCTAAGCCTAAGCAGGAGTCTGGAGACTATTCCTGGCCTCAAGAGGATTATACTCCAGTACGGCAGACAAATGCAACTGCAAGAAGAAAGTGAACAATTATGTAAAAGGAAATATTCAAGTGCCATCATAAATTGAGAATGGCTACATATTTTTGAAAGTGGCAGCATTTAATCAAGGCTTGAAAAGAAGTGGGATTTGGACTGCTGGCATTATATGTTTATTATCTTAACAAGATGTGTTTTTGATTTATTTTTAAAGTCAGATAAAAGGAGCCTATCTTTTTTGTGAGTCAATGCTTAAATTTTCTTATAATCAGAATATCTTTCTTGTTTTAAATTTAAAATCAAACTATAAAATATGTCTCAAATATCTAATAACTTTTGTTCTTTGTCCTACATACTTTGTTCAAGTTTCAGGAAAAAAAAAAAAAAAAAAAAAACTTCCGTTCTTGCTTTCTTGGTAGTGGCAGTTCCTCTAACTTTCATCATGCATTTAACCATAAATAAATGACATTTAATTTTCACAGGAGGATCTCATTTCTATCCCCTGCCCTGGAAGTTGGCAAAAAGTAAGGACTTGCATTTCATTGGAAATACAGAATATTTACTCTGCCTATTCTCTTCAGAAATTATAGCCTTGAAATCTGCTATCTAATCCTTATCAGGTACCCAGTTTGAGGCTGGGTCCCGTGCAGCGGCTTATGCCTGTAATCCCAGCACTTTGGGAGACCAAAGTGGGCAATTCCTTGAGCCAGGAGTTTGAGACAAGCCTGGGCAATGTGGCAAAATCACTTTACAGAAACAAAAATCAGCCCACTGTGGTAGCACACATCTGTAGTCCCAGCTACTCAGGAGGTGAGGTAAGTGTTGTTTGAGCTCAGCAGGTCAAGGCTGCAATGAGCCCTGATCGCACCGCTGCACTCCAGCCTGGGTGATGGAGTCAGACCCTGTCTCAAAACCAAACCCAGTTTGAGAAAAATATTTATCAAGATTGTCTCAAAGACATGCAGTTATGCAGCTGTGTTCTTTGAACCACACTGTTTGGGTGCATCCCAGATGTGCTTTTGGTCTGTAGGTTTCTTTTCTTGGGCTGTTTTTATCTGGTTTTGGTATAAGAATAATACTCATAAAGTGAGTTGACAAGTGCTCTTTTCTATATTTTGAAAGAGTTTGTGAAGAATGGCTATTAATTATTCTTTCTCTTTTTTTTTTGAAATGAAGTCTCGCTCTGTTGCCCAGGCTGGAGTGTAATAGCGTGATCTTGGCTTACTGCAACCTCCACCTCCTGGGTTCAAGCAGTTCTCCCTGCCTCAGCCTCCCGAGTAGCTGGGATGACAGGCACTCACCACCACACCCAGCTAATTTTGTATTTTTAGTAGAGATGGGGCTTCCCCATGTTGGCCAGGCTGGTCTTGAACTCCTGACCTCAGGTCATCCACCCACTTCAGCCTCCCAAAGTGCTAAATTTTTCTCTAAATGTTTGGTAGATTCAACAGTGAAGCCATCTGGACCCAGCCTTTGATTTATGCATAGAAAGTTGATTACTAATTCAGTCTCTTCATTTATTATATGTGTGTTCAGCTTGTCTATTTCTTCTTGAGTCAGTTTTGGTAATTTGTATTTTTTCCAGGAATTTGTTCATTTCATCAACGTGATCTAAGGTGTTGGTATATACTTTTTCATAGCATAGTTATTTTTATACTTTTTAAAATTTCTATAAGGTTGATGGTAATGTCCCCTCTTTCCTTTATGGTTCCTGGATGTGCTTTTACTAAACTGTCCCTTGGGGTAATGCCATCTGCCTTCAGCGAGGCACCTTGTAGGAAATAGATTCATAAACTTCATTGTCAGATTTCGTGTCATGATGTCATCTGCTACAGCTGTCTGCTGCGTCCCACAGTGTTTTCTCTGTAGGATCTAGAAGAGACCTTTCTCTGATCTCCCTGTGTCACGAAAAGCTCTGCATGCCCTGAACAAATGGGACATTTTAATCCCACTGTGGGTTATGTCTCCTGCTTTGGCTGCTGGGAGGGCTAAGAGTCCAATGTTGAATACCTGCCCTGTCAGCTTCCCAGGGCTGCCACAACAAAGTTTCACAAAGACATTGGCTTCAAACAACGGGTGTTTATTCTCCCGTAGTTCTGGATGTTTGGTTAGAAGTCAAAATTAAGGTGTCAGCCGGGCTATGTTACCTTTGGAACCTGTAGGGAAGAATATGAGAGGACTTCAAAAAGGTTGTGGAAAAAATAAAATTAAAGGATAAAAATAAGCAATATAAAGTGCGTTTCTCAACATAAACTCCATAAAGTTCAAGACACTTTTCTAAGTGATGAGACCAGCCATCTAGTCCATTCCCAGCATCTTGGGAATTTAGTCATGTCAGTGCAGTCTTTCTTACATCATTAACTGAAGAAAAATGGGTGCACTTTACATAGATATATATATTTTTGAGATGGAGTCTCACTCTGTCACTCAGGCTGGGGTACAGTTGTGTGATCATAGCTCACTACAGCCTTGGCCTCCTGGATTCAAGCAATCCTCCCACCTCAGCCTCCCAAGTAGCAGAGACTACAGGCAGGTGCCACCATGACTGGTTAATTTTGTATTTTGTGTAGAGAGAGTCTCACCACGTTGCTGAGGCTGGTCTCGAACTCCTGGGCCCAAGGGATCCTTTCACTTTGGCTTCCCAAAGTCTTAGGATTATAAGCGTGAGCCACCATGCCCGGCCAGTTTTTTTTTTTTTTTTTTTTCAAT